TCTCAATTCAGTTGCATGTATAGGAATTCCTTGTTAACTTTTCGATTGTTCCTGAGCCATTAGATCTGCAGAATAATTAAATGAAGTTACATCAAAATAACCAATATGCAGCATTTTGAAGCATTTCCGTAAGTAGGGATTACCGTACAAGAAAACGACTGAGCCTGTTTGGCAAAAACTGATTTCATATTCAAATTCAGGGTAGATGACCACTTTGAACACCATTGAGCTTATTTGTTACCAAAAAGGCTATTGGCCAGTCTTATTGAGCGGTGCCAAAAAGGCCTCCGGCGAATGGTCCTTTGGCTTTAGTAGTAGGTCGGTCATTGGAACCAGTTAAAGCCCGTGATAATTTTTTTTACCCAATTTAATGATTGAGAATTACATATTTACTTTTAACTAATACTAACTTGACTCGGTTTCTCTCTTCATATTTGCCTCCAATAATTCCCTTTCGTAATAACCTCCATAAGAGAATATACATCATACAACTGTGTTCATATTTCCCATATAACCACGATTATCTCGACTCAGGTACGTTATGCAGTGTATATCGCGTTCCATGTCAGAAGCAACAACAAATAACGTATCAGTAAAACACCAAATGTTCGGCCCAGCAACTTCTCGGGCGCGCGCACTGCGAGCGCCGGGGGCCGGGGCTGGCGGGGCGCACGTGACTGCGCGTGTTCAGTTCTTTATTCCGTCACCGAGCGGGCCTTTTTGCACGTGCGCGGGGCGATCGCCCGCCCGCTGGCCGCTGGCCGCTGGCCGCTCTCGTGAATGGGCAGCGGCGCCACAGTCGCAGGTGCCGCGCGTGGACGCGGGCCGAAAAGAAACGCTCGCACCGCCGCCAACGGGACAACCAGCTGCCATGATCACGGTCAACGCACTTTCTAGTGACTCCACCTTGTTCTGGACGAACCTCGCCTTGCTCTTGTTCAGTTTAATTTTGTTTTGTCGACAAAAGTTTCACATGTGCGTATGTTCTTTGATTCCTTGCTTGATAGACAAACGACGTTATGTAAAGCGAATACAATTTGTAAGAAGCTAGAAAAAACTTGTTCTGTCTTTGCTTCTTGGTTATGTAGTTTCTCTCCGGTTTTCTGAAAGAGCTTCTTTATTGTGATTTTGGTAATAGAATTTTAGATGAAATAAAATCAAAGACTTGTAAAATGCTTGTTGATCAATACTTGCATTATTTTGAGAGCTAGTACCTTTAATCTATTTCAAAATATAAATTAGATCTCGTAATACTGGAGTTTCGTAATGAATTGTCGTTGATGATATGTCATAAGCAAAAATATAAAATGAAAACTTCAAGCTAATCGAGATATTCACTATTAAGTTCACAAGTACAAAATGTTATAATAATTTAGCTCTCAAAATGAGTATTGAACGTATTTTTTTCTTTTAGAAACTTGGGATGAATGTTTCATATGAGACCATTATTATTCACTTTTCTTTGCTCATTGTGAAAACAACATTCACGATGGCGCCATACCGTCAAGGCGGTAAGACGGGGTCCTTTTGATTGACTCTAAATTGCAAACCCTCAACGATCTTTCGGAATTGGAAATCCTCAACGCATTCTAACGAGTGTCATTGGAAACGTTTCAAATGCGTAACAAATTAGTGTGAGAGATGCTTTTAGGTTGTTTGATAATTTACTTCAGGGGGATGATATTAAGACATTTAAGGTATCGAACACTTCGTTTGGATATCATATTAAGACTGCGTTTAAGAGGATTAAATTTACTATAAACCAAAAATTATATTTTTTCTTATTCGTAGCACATGATATATGGAAGGTATAATTAACATTACCTAAATTGTTATTAAAAGGAAAGTATAAATATTTATTATCTAACATTTCTTATGTATTTAGATATAATAAAATTCATATAGCTAAGTGCCATTGGAGTTGTTTTTGGTAACGAATGCAGTGTACGCAAGCGTCACATGCGTGATACTACGCAATCTGAGCAAAGCAGAAGTGAGTAACCTTCGATAATACACTGAGCAAAAAATACTGAGACTATTTCTTTCTTCGTATGTGTGCTCTTCGTTGAACGTCTGTTCATTTGGGCGGCCGAGCCCTTTCTTGGGCGCCCCACCTTGTCCTGCGTTCTCCGTCTGCCAAACGCTCTTCCGACTTGGAACGAACGCATTTTCGCGCGCTCTCCCGGCCCGAGATGAAACGCCGGGTTCCGGGCTCTTGTGCGCCCGAGGCTGCGGCCCAGGCAGGGAAACGATGCCCGGAATCCTCCGGGCGCCGTGCGTCGCGCTGGGAGCTTTCTACGCGACTCTGGCAGCCCGTCGTCAGAGGCCAAGCTGCACTCTGTTGCGGCGACTAGTGCAACGTGTAGAGGCGCTCTCGACTACTCGAGGTCCTTCACGTTATCGACCGAGATCTTGCATGCGTCGGGCCCTCCTGTGATTATCGCCACCCTGAAGGAGTAAAATGTAAAATATGTATTATAAATGTTTTTAACATGGCGCAATTGCGTAAAAGATAATGAGAACTCGATTACAGAATGTATTCCGTCAGAATACCTCTTACATCACATTAGTGAGTAAGATATTTTTGAATGAATTTGGTACAAAATTCTCGTTTAATTTCTTAGCATTTAGCATACCACTAGCCAAACCATTTTTCATGCTTGAGGACAGTTATATTGCAAGGGTCGCCATGCATTAATCAGTTTTTGTCAAGATGCTAATGTGACATGAATACAAATGAAGGTTTCAACGTTTTAATGAAATAACCCTTCCGCGTCATTATTTCTACGCATTCACTTTCTCAACGGTCGCCTCCCGCTAGTGTGACAACACGTCACACCAGCAGATTGGAATTAAATGCTTGAATATCAACGAATTCATGCATAAGACACAGTAAAAGCACTAACCATTTCCAGCACAAAGAAAGAAAACAAATTCTAAGCATGTAAATATTTGTGTGGCTGCCTGGATGGCGCAAGAACTTGGGGGTGGGGTCGTAAGTAGGCGAAGCGAAAGGCTGTGTGCAAGAGGTACAGCAGTTTCTGCAATGTGATTGTGGGGCGATAGGTTTCTCATGCCTCTTGGATCGCGTATGAATCATTCGTTCCGTGATCGTTAGTGCATCATCATTTACCTATCATGATCATGGCTATCGCCATACCGGGAGAGGTGGCTCAGGGCATCCAGTGACGTTACTGTGGCGCCTCTGGTCCTGGTATTCGAGTTCCTACAGTGGCAGAGAGCGAGGTCGCGTTCTGTCGCTGGCTGAAGGAGAATCTTAGCGGCCGCATGCTCTGATCGGTAGATCTCCGTGCTTTCTCCTGACAATAACAGGTGAATGCCAGTGCAGTACCCTGCCAAACGAGTCGCGGGCGATCTTTCCTTCTCATTTATTGCCCTATCCTACCCCTTACACACACACACACACACACACACGAACTTTCATGCACTACACTAACACTTGCCGGGAGATCTGTCCGGGGCTGAGGGCTTGACCCGAATGGGGCGGTGCCCTGCTGGTGGGAGATACCTGCATTGCAAAAACTCATTTAGCGGGCAGTAGGTCGGCGCCGAACTTCGCCATCCAGTGGGGTAAGATCATCGCGACCTCACGAGCAAAACACATGCACTACACTTACGGATCTAATGACTACAGCAATTAACGCGACCGGAATCACCAGTAATCACTCAATCAATCCTAGCACCATCCTCTGAGTGGGAGGCAATGGTAGATCACCCCTGTGATCATTTGACTGGGAAAGAGGTGGCATAAAGATGCAAGCCGCCTGTCTCTGTCTATCATATTTGTAAACAAATATGATACTCGTGGGCATCTACTCTCTACTTTTTATGGAAATAAATAAAGGCTAAAATTCCGACTTTTTTTTACAAAGTATAACAGAGACTACATTAAATTTCTTATAATAAACCTGCCACTTTTTTTGTTTTGAACAATTTCCTGCTATGTGCTGAAGAGAAAACATAATATCAGGCTTTAAACGATCTTTTTGTATGCTATTTTTAAATAAGTTTACAGCTGAACTTATTTATCTGGTATCACTGAAATAATTCATTTTGTGATTTAAAGAAGCAATCTTGCTCGTTTTGTGTAATTTACGCAAAACTAGAAATCAATTCTAACAGAAAATGCCACTTCTGATGAATGCAAGTTTTCCAACACTTCAACATAATACAAGTTTCTGATACTATTTTAAACAGAATAATTTCTCTCCGTCTGAGGAGTATCCGAGCGATACAGTAACCTGGAAGAAATCGGATTTCTCTGTCAAACGCGACGCCCGAAAAAGTAAACGTTTGTAAAAAGTGCTATTGAAAGCGAGGTATGTTCATCGTAACACACTACACGAAGCGACAAGACACGACATTCAAAAGATAAGTGGGTGAGGAGATTTCACCGAAAAGAGCCTCGTTACCTGCTGCACTGAACGCCCCCTCGCGCCGCCTGGCGTTCGCGCCCGCAGCCATCTCGAGTCCTCCGCAGCGCCGAACAAAAGCCTGCGATGGCCACCGCACGCCCCTCTCGGGAATGTGGATTGCAGTCTGGCCCACGCTCACTGCGGCCTGACAAATAAATCGTGCGATTATTCAATTGTAGCAGTAGGTATTTATACCACGCAATACTTTTATTCTATGTGGAAATAAGTATATCCCTGTTTCCCAGATGGCGCGAGATTTTACATATGTAATAACAATTTTAATAATATTATTATTAAAAGTATTTAATAAGTAATTTTTGGAGTTTTCTTAACTCACACGGTGATTATAATAATTTATTTTAAAATGAGGTTATAATGATTTGCAAATTATTCGTATAGTGAGATTGTAAGTATTTATTTTAGAAGGCTATATAAAATATTGTAATATTGTAAAAACTTAAATTGAAACTATGCATTACTCTTGTGAACAGAAGAGCTCATGAAGTTGTAGTACTGTATATGTAATGAGCTTCAATGTATTCTTATTTTGATTATTTGTTTCAGAGAGGAGATGGTGGTGATGAAACCTGTTGCCAGTATGGTAAGTTATTGTTTCGAAAAAAATATATACAATTTCGCTTGCACATGTATACTTTTATTGAAAAGATGACATTTATTAGAAAAAGTTATGAATTGCGGTAATGTATCGTTGAGTGGGGGAATTTGAAGTACAGCATTTTAGATTTCTGTTTATTGCGAAAATAATCTGATATTGGTCCGCAATCATTTTACTTAGAGAAGGACTCCTGTAAGAGATGTGGTTGAGGAAACATTGTCCTTAATTTTAATCAGTTTTAAATTACCCGTCGCTTCTTAAGATATTTAAAATATGAAAGATTTACATCTGCAAAACGTGTACGTACATGCAAATTCCAAGAATCCTTCATCAATCAGCGCAATCTATTTATAAGATTATCATCGATTATAAAGAAAGTAACAAGCGTTGACGATACACAATTCGATCACTAAATAAATTTATTTTCATCGAGTTGAATATAATAGGAACTTGATTTAACCCTGCAGTGACCCCGTTTTATAAGTACTACACTGTAATTAGGAAACTATTGCGCGAATGCTATAATTTTCAAAATTTTATAAATATTTATATGATACTCTCTTTTTCTTTCACAATATTTTAAGTAAAACTACTTGAGCGTAATTGTCTCTAGCAATTCCGCATCATTCACTTAACATATCCATTTTGTGACTATTAATTTCGTCGAGAAATAGTTTGAAAATTATTAATACTTACTGTTTCTTTGCAAATGGTTGGCTTCAGGCTGGAAACTGGTGATGACAAATGGATCCATTTACAATATGTTGGCCCGGTTACACTTTCGTTGTGTGTTTTCTTTCATTAAATGATATTCACACCCTTTTACGCTCTTCAGCGAAGATCTCATGCAAAAATGTAGATTTTAGTGCACAGGTTTCACCAATCCAAAAGTGTTATAGTTTATGAATACGTTCAGGCAGCTCATGAGAAAATTATGTTAACAATTTCTTTTCCATTTACGTCCACCTCCTTTAATATTATAATCAAGTAAAATTGGGAGGAAGAATAAATAAATGTTAAAAAAATAAAATTATTTATTAGATAAAAATTCGCAGGTTTTCGCAGGATTGCACCTTGCCATATTCTTGTTTTCTTATTATAAGTTGTTGTTTCGTTGTTGAGTATGAATATTTAAAATCTAAAACGCTTGGAGACCACTGTTTCTCTAGACGGGCATTGTATTGCATCTGTCAACTGCCGAAAGGAGGGCCTGTGCCTGTTTCGCGTCGAAGCCATTTACGGGCGGTCGTACTTGAGGTTGAGCGCGGGGAGGGCAGGGGGCTGCGAATGCTCTTCCTTGGCGGCGGCCTCCGCGTAAGCGTTGTGCACCTCCTGCAGCTCGCCCAGCAGGTCCATGCACCTGGAGAAGGCGTGGCGCGCGCGCTGCTGGCTCTCCTGCAGGGCCGCCAGGCGCTCGCTGCGCCTGTCCGTGACCCGGCGCAGGTCGCGCAGGCCGCACGACAGCTCTCCGGTGCGGCGGCGGTGCCGGGACGCCAGCTGCGCCGCCCGCAGGTCGTCCTCCATCATGTGGTTGAGCTTCTGCTGCTCGTACCACTGCTGCATCGTGAGGCCGTCGTTCATCTCGTTGAGGATGTCCATGATCACCTCGAGCGACCTGCTCTCCTGCAGCTCCAGGTTGCGGTACACGTCCTGGACCAGGTCCTTGCTTGTCTGCGACGCGCGCTCCTCGATGTCCCGCTGGCTGCTCGCGAGGAAGTTGTGCAGGTCGCGGAGGTGCGAATCCACGACCCCCGGGCACAGGCTGACGGCGACGCCCGAGTACACGACGTAGGCGACGAACGGGATGACGCCGATGACGATGAGCACGGGCAGCGCCGAGAGGGCAGACTTCCACGCGTAGTACACGTAGATGAGGGGCGTGTACCACGGGCCGCTCGCTGCCACCACGGCCTGCGTTGCGGTCAGATTGGGGCCCGAGGGCCTGGGCTCGTCCTGCGGCCAGCAAGGGCCCTCGATCTCCCAGCACGGCAGCATCGCGTCCATCTGATCGTTGCGCAGCGATCTCAGGAACCTCAGGCGATGCGTGTCTGCGTGCCACAGTTCGTTGGTCAACACTTGAGTAACATGAGTGATTTCCTGCAACGCGTTGTCGATGTAGCCCATATGATGGAAGATTTGAAGGATGCTGATGATTATGACGATTGACATGATTGCCAGTGGCACCATGGTGCAATCTGCATGTGTGATATTGATGAGATTTTACAGATTACCTGTAATGTATATGTCGATATCAGAAGTATTTACAGTCGAATTTCAAACAACTCTCCTTTCGTATGAAGGTCATGAGAAGACATTCTCATTTGTTTCCAATTGACAATTGATGTTATAAACATCTTGATATATTGTAAGGAGGCCTTGCTATGCTACATGCTGAAACTTGTTTTTGTTTTTATGGAACAAAATTATATTTATTATATCGAAATTTCTTATATCCTGTCCTAAGACAAATATTTTGGTTGACAAATTATAGTATAGAGCTTATTTCAAATCAGGTTTCTGACATAATTAAACTCATGAAATTAATAAATCATACCATACAGTCTTAATATGGTGCACTACACTTTCAAGAGTCCATGACACTAATTCTCTGATTCAGTATTAAAGTTTAAACGTTTAATGGCTGATATCTTGGAGCTATTTGTTCACAGAACTTCTTTTTGCGGTTCCAATTCCCTTCTACTTTATTTCCCAGCAGGGATTCATACGTTATCGGAATGCGTGATACTGTCAGTGTGGCCACATATTGATTTAACAGAATATCGAAATCGCTTATTGTCGCTTAGTTCTGTCTGCAGTGCCTGACTTTCCTGTTCGTGTTCTTAGCGGGCGTCTGATCTCCCTTGCCTCATCAGCCCATCCATTGCTCGTCTTTGTCCTGCAGAAATTTATCACATTTACCTGGGTGAGGCCGCGTCCTTCAGTGTTCGACATAATTAAGTTATGTCGCATATTAAGTTGTGTCACCGCTGAACGCCAGGTTAATACTGGAACAGTTCCCAAACACACTGGTCTCGGACCATGCGCGACTATTCCTTCCTCTTTCTTATTATATTTCCCCCTTACACACACATTCACTACACCACCACACATGTCGGGATATCAGTCGGGAGCTTAGAGTTAGTCATAGATGGAGGGTGATACCCGGTTGGGGATATCCCCGCAAGCGATAAAACATTTAAAGGAATAGTCCACAGCAGTTGACGTACTCGAAAACACTATCAAACGCAGAAGCTGAAGAAAATCAGGAGCCAGCGGATTTTGTTCGTAGTCCCACCGCCTCCGGGGTATGGTCAAAAAGCTCGTATTTGCCTGTGAGGGTAGAACGGAGCAGGCATATCCGTCGTGTATCACGAGCGTGTATGGGATGCCTCTTTCGCGGAGAGCTGTCGGGGAGTGGGCGGGCCATTTCCAACGCGTGCGTGACGTGTCGCAAGGAAACGCAGAGCGAGGGTCCGCCCCGTTGCCTCAGCGGCCGGCAAAGGGGCGTTGCGCTGCCAAATGTCACCCGACATGCTGTCGCGCCACCGCCTTCCTCTCGCCGGCTCTCGCGCGCAGGTCGTCCCCGTCCCCGCCCCCGCTCTCTCCCCCGCCACACGCTCCTATTCTTCCGAAGGCTCAGCCCCCTTACGGAGCGCGGATTCTTCTGCCAAGATGTAATGCACAGCTGTTTCTTCTGTCTGAAGTTCTGCATGGATTTCGATAAAGCATTTGCTGTTGGGAATTTTGCGTGTAACAAAGGCGATTTTTGGAAATAGTATTTTGAACTATTATTAAATATTTGAGTTGAATTTAAGAGTAGTCACACCAACAGTTAATTCAATTTTCTATTGAATTGCGAAATTTTCTCTCAATGAGATACTCGTATATACGGCCAACATACAACTTCTTTGTATATCTTCCTCTGCTGGATGATTTTACTTTCTCGTATACGGACGTGTATACGGAGTAATATACGCAATATAGAGAAAGTTATGTAATGCGAAAAAACGGCGAATTTTTGGAAGAAAAACATAAATGGCCGGAACCTGATAACAAAAAAGATAAATCTAATTGCTGAATTAAGAAAATATCCTCTAACACGTGGTGTAGCCAGAATCCCTGTTTTGTGGGTCCCCGATATCCAAAAATCGATTGACGTCAAAACGTTCGTCTGTCCGTCCGTCTCTGAACACCACTAGCGCCTAAACCATACGGACAATTTTTTTTTCAAATTGAAAAAACCCTTCTTCGTTGCTTGACTGTGACTGTAACAAACTAGAGTACGAGAATTCATTGGGAACACATAAGATCAGGCGAAATACGACTACGAAACATTTGCATTGTTCAGAGAAAATAAACACGGGTTAATTATATTTTGGTTCCCCAGTGTTCCCACTGGAGCCACTGAAAATTCTCACAAGACCAGTGGCTGATTAGTTGGAATCAATTTATGCGTTTATTTAAAAATAATTAGATTATATTCACTTCCTTTCTTTGTCTGCATTGATTGATCTTAAAAAACAATGAATTTTATCATTTCAAACACTGCAGATCTAAGAAGAAACATTTTTACGTTAGTTTCGCACTAAAAAGTTGTTAGTGACTTCCGTTTTAATTTTCGAACTTACGTTTTTCTTTTAATACGAATCGACAAGAACTTGAAAGATTTAGTACTCTGATTTTAATCATATTGTTAGATTTTGCCTAATATATTGGTAATAATTACATGTAAAATTTAAAATTTCTTATTTTGAATGTGTTTCATACATAAATTAAACGAACGTAATATGCAACAGTTACGAAGTCATGTTTGGTGATATATCGGTATTATCCAGTCTCTTATTTATTCATGGTATTCTTGGAACTCGCGGAAATGCCATTGGTCGCGAGGAATGCTGCCATTTATCAGAATCGTTACTTATGTGTTTTACATGTACTCGGTGACAAGTAATCGGCTGCAAGTAAGATCACGTTTCACAGCCGCT